CAGGTCGCCGTTCAGATTATCCGACATGGTCTTACAGTAGTCCAGCTTCTGGGGGCTCTGGGTCTCCTGGTTCTCCTGGTTGCTGACGGACGAGTTCAGCAGCTTGAACGCGCTGATGTCAAAGTTGGTGCCGCTGCGATTGGGGATGAAGCGATCGCCTACGGGCAACTTGGAGGGAGTTTTGCCTGTAAAACAAAAATTCCCAAACCATTAAGAATTTTTTATGTTTTTCTCCAAAAATCATGAAGCCAAAGATTTTGGTATTGGGTCAATCCATAAATCTGGGGTCCAAAAAGGTTTGACATTGTTTTGGTGTCCCTGTTACGCCTGACCTGTGTAATTTGCCATTCAAGTATCATTAAAATTGACTTTACAAAAATCAGTTAATTTAATTTATGGGGTTGTCTCATCATTCGTAGCAAATGAGCATTCTGGGGACTCAGGGAGTCAGGTTGGCGTAGCGGTACTTTCCTTGCCGCTGTGACCCAGGTTCCAATCCCACCTGGGCCAATATGTGGATCGGGTTTTCAGTCCCTGCCTGATTCCGTGGGTTTTCCCCAGAATATTTTTCTGGGCTTTTCTTCCTGCCTCTAAAATGTAACTTCTTCTCATTGTCTCCTCTCTACAGGTTTCTTCAGGCTTGCGAGCTACAGTGCCTAGGGCGCTTTTTGGGGAATCCTTGGTTTCATTACCAGAAATGATTAATAATAATAATAATAATAATTTCTTTGTGTTCTGCGCAGACAGCGCCAACGCCTGCGCATATCCGCTGCAGATGATTTTTACCGTGACGTTTTTGAATCGTTATGACACGCTCAAGTTGTTTGCGTATGTTCTACTTACGCATTGCATTTAGAGTACACTTTCAAAATTCAATCCATAAAATTTTGTTATGTTTTACAAACACACACATGAATTCAAAATGTCTGCGTGCAGGACGGCTTTAAAGTATCTCCCCGCATCAGAATGAGGAGTTAGCGCTCTAGTAATTTAATAAAGCTCTATGGTCCTAACATATATTTGATTCTGTATCTGTATCATATAGTCGGCAAAGCATCCCAGGGGAAATATCACACCAACTTACAGAGAAGACAACGAGAAGAAATGACTGTTTTAGAGGTGGGAGGAAAAGCCCAGAAGATATTCTGGGGGAAAACCCACAGAATCGGGCAGGGACTGAAAACCCAATCCACATATTGACACAGGCGGGATTCGAACCTGGGTCACAGCGGTGGAAGGCGAGGAAAGTACCGCTACACCAACCTGACCTCCCCTGATTAAAACGTCTTGAGAGAGAGCACTTTCTACCATAGTTGTAGTCGAGTACTTTCCGAGTACCAGCATAGCTACCAGAGATTATGATGGTTTGTTATAAAAAAAGCTGCATAATGCAGACACTGAACAGGAAATCCCCATCAAAAGAAATTCAACACTTTAGACAATCAGCATCTTGTACCAACTAACCTTTTAAGACAAAAGTATTCGGAAAGTACTCGCCGAGTACTTTTCAAGTACATTTAGGGTACTTCTTACCCAAAAGGTAAATTAACAAGGGGTTTTATGTAACCAAAGTCTCAACTTAATTTGTTTTCTAACACTGACTTCATTTTTCTGTCTGCTATCAATATTTCTCTTGCATTGTTCGCAAAGACAGCTCAATACTTGGTAATAAACAAAGTACTCGGAAAGTACTCGATTACAACTCTGCTTTCTACCTGGAGTTTTAGACTTCTTGCCACTGGGAGTCCTGGACTTTGAGGGTGTCTTGCTGAAGGAGTGATTGGACGTCTTCATGGGTGAGATGCCGCTCACGTTTCCCAGGCTCTTGCTCAGGCTTCGATTCAGGCTCTTGTTTAAGCTCCTGTTCAAGGAGGCATTGCACATGGACGTCTCTGTGGCCTTGCGCTGCCACCGCATGGCAGGGCCGCCCATTGGTCCATCCAGCCTCAAGAGACTGTTGACGTCACTTTCAAAGTTGAGATGTGTCATTGTAGTTCTTTCTCACAAGCAGCTAAATGTCTATAAATTAAGGAAAAAAAAGACTTTGTCAAATAATAAATTTTCAAATTTGTCTCCATTTAGCCTTAAAGGGAATATACATCATTTGCTTTTGCTGTAATTTTCAGAAATGGATGGAATTGGGGGGTTGGAAATATATAGCAAATATAGTTACACTGACTTTTTTGAGGTTTTGGGTTCGAAAATGCTATAAAAACCAAGAAAAACAATCATTTTCCTGTAGTCTGGTTCCCTGACTCCATTTAAGAAGAAACAGAGCAGTTTACATACATTTGGGAATTGTAAGGTCAGGGAACCAGTCTAGCTGGCTTGTACCCGTTCATAGGTGTGTAATCGATTGCAAACAAGTGCGATGGTCAACTGGGGCCAGTATTTGAAAAAAAGCCAGTTTTTTCCAACGCTGGTCGGCCGATCAGCGTTGGAAATTGATACAAAAATACCAATTTTCTTGAAAATGACAGTATACCAGGTGCCATGATTTTACAGGATGCTTTACACTGTCATTCACTAACAGTCCAGCAAGGTATTTCAAAATAATTTGGTAGTTTTATTTTTTGATGTTTGCAAATGCTGTATTTTCCCTTTAAGAGACTGTTGACGTCAATTTCTAAGTTGAGATGTGTCATTGTAGTTCTTTCTCACAAGCAGCTAATGTCTGTAACTGGAGGTCAAATAAACCTTCACATTTTTGGCAACTTGAACACAGTCGAACACCTTATAAAAAGGTCCTTGCGACTTTACAAATTACCTTGGTATAACAGGTACCTTGTATTAACAGTAATGGAAAACAATCATGTTATATAACAGGTACCTTGTATTAACAGTAATGGACAACAAACAAAAACAAAGACTTAGGACCTAATATTTTGCTCGTTATAAGCAGAATGCTGTATTAACAGTGCTCTTCTTATCAGGATTCGATTGTAACACAATTTTTTAATGCTGTGGCTATTGTTGTATGTGTCGACCGTCTGGTTCCCTGACCTGGCAATATTCAATGTCAGGATCGTTTGGTCTCGAAACCGGACATCAGCCGAATGGTACTCAGACTTTGTTTTCCTTAAAAAACAAAAATCCTACAAAGCCACAGATCACTAAGAAATAATTGAAATCTACTTCAATAAAAAGAACGATTTAATGTATAACATAAAAGTAACGAGAACTGGTACCTTCTGCATGGTAGTACGTTTACCCAATTGAGCTATCAAAGCACTATGGTTGGATGTGTACATGTAATTATAAATGTGATATAATGATAGATTACTAATTCTGTTTTTTTTTTGGCAAGTCCATAACAATAGCTGTTGTCAATCACATTATGGCTGCCGTAACGATAGCCTCTATGTGTTTTTATAAATGACGCAGTAATTCTTGTGTATCTGTCTTTGTCATAATACAAAGATTTGATCAAGAATTAAAGCTGAAAACTTGAAACATTTGAAAATCTGTAAAAACGAATACCTGCATTGTATTACTTGAAAAGTATACATCTCTCCAAAGTCCAAAGAACGCTTTTCCAAGTTCTGTTAAATTAAGTTAACTAATTTGGCACAAATTTTCAAACTGCACGTAAATGGTGTAGGCCACTAGTCACTACTTTAAATTTCTTCTGTTTTGTATAAAACAGTAAATTGTAATAATTTTAATAAAATAAATAATTTGTGATGCTTAACACTTTCCATCGCATTGCCAATCTCAACGCCCTTAATACAATTACAATTGTAATTTGTATCATTCAATGTCAACTTTATAAAAAAAATTGACAAAGTTACATACACTAGGTTCCAAACTGTAAAAAAAATATTGTTATGGCAGATTTTCAACGCGATTTTCAACTGGTAATGCTATCGTTACGGTATTGCAAAATCACCATTGTGAATCTATTATACCCGTCCAACCAGAACGCTTTGGTGTCTCGTTTGAAACCGTTACCACGCTGCTCATTAAATTAAAAAAAAAGGTTTTAATAGTTTTCTTTACGTTCATGTCATGTCATGTTTTTAATCAAATCATTCTTTTTATGGATTTCCATTATTTCAGTAGATTTCAATTTTTCCCTTCATAATCTGTAATTCCGTGGCAATTGGCATGCGTTTGGAGGACTTCTGGAGAGAAATTTGCATCCTGACGCGATTTTGTAACAAAATTGGAAAAAAAAAATGTCAGTCCCAGATTCATGTCTTTGCAATTGTGGATTTGCAATGATGGCTAGTTAAAAAAGGTCATCATTGCAAATAATACACAATTGCAAAGACATGAATCTGGGACTGAAATTTTTTGTTACAAAATCGCGTTGCGGCTGCAGTATCGATAGCCATTGCGAAATTAACATGCAAAGTCATGAATTTTGAAAGATGAAGTTAAAGAAATGGTGCGAAGTGACGCGGTAGGCCATCAGTTTCGTCTTAGAAAACGACACCGAATAACCTCCATGGAATAACACAATGGTAAACAGAATAGTTCTTATGCTGAAATAAAACAGTCATAAACACAATTGTTCGTTAAATCATGAATGCATTCTTTCAAAACACAATAAAACAAGACATTTATGTAACGACAAATTACCTCCTCCTACGGAATATACATCAGCAGCAGCCTGTGTACTGTATGCATCAATGCATGCGGTATGCATCAATGCATGCGCTATGCATTATGCGTGGTCGAGGTCCGGTCCAGTTGTTATTTTGTCAATGGGCATTTAAATGACCCGCGTTGTGATTGGTTCGCAGCAACGCACATATCGTTTCCGTGATTGGTCCGTTACGAGACCATGGAAATAAACCTACGCTACGTAGCTTGAGAACGGGATTAAAAATGTTATCCATACTTCTTGATATTTGTTACTTTTGAAATTGCATACTTTTGTTTCCAATTTATGTTTGCAATTAATCTTATATTATTCATTTTGCTAACCATTCTGTTTTTGTTATGTTTAGTGAAAAGTACGTTGTAAAATCTCACCACTTGCGAGATTTGCCAAAACAAGATGGCAGCCCCCATGAGTAGTTTGACGTGTCAAAAGCGTGTTCGGTTTTTGTGCTCTGTTTATGCCGTTTTTATAAGCACTTTCCCAATTCTTGCTTTTGCAGATTATCATTTCTATTCTTTTTCTGCCAACGATCCAAGAGGCATACAAGTTTCTTTAAATGCATTTCGTGGAAAGGTGATGATAAATTTTCGGTACACTACGCCGTGCATGCAATCATTCCTCCATGATGCAACCATGGAGCAAGGAAATGCAACTAACCTGTAGACCATAGAGCTCTTTGCGTACATGCCAAAGCCGTAATACATGTACAGTACATACAACTAGAATTAGTAATATTTAAGTGAGTAGGTTTAATTGCCTAAGCATAACAAATTAACATAGGGCCGACATGATATGCCTAAATCATGCCACGAGGATGTTGTGCATACTACTAATACTAGTGAATTTCGGCATACAGTGGAATGACATCCTTTGGGGTCAATGTTTTATATTAAATTGCACAATCATGGAGCCCAATACATTAACACTTCAAATTAAGCCGTTTTTAAGAAGTGACATTGCATGAACATTTGTAATGATTTTTTTTGTTGAGTTAAGACCGTAGTTTTCCGCAGTATTTTTTTCATCGACAGACTATATACATGTACTGACTTATTGAGATTACCCTAAATTTGGTGTATTTCAACGTTGTCAAACATAAAGAAAACATGTACCATGACTGATGTGAATGTCTGGATATTGCTAAAAACACTTTATTCCACAGAATGTATAGAAACAAACCCTTTCAAAAAGATAGAGTGTACTATTTGCTGAATATAAACTTTACTTTATACAAAATTCCTTGAATTTCAAGTTGTGAGTTTTTTAAGCACACGCTGTAGATATTCTTAAATGTTTGAATTCAAATTGAATAGCGACTTCCTTTTTTTCTGTTCTCTGCTTATGCAGAAAATCATTGGCAGCCAGTGCAATATCAGTGTTTGTTTTAACTTTCCAGTTTGAACCTGAAACACAATGAGTAGGACTCCATTTGCTGTGGAAATGGCTTTCTTCTTGGCTTCAAGTAGGTTAAACTTTTAAGGCAGCATTAAATATTTTTCGGCGATATTTTATAACACTTTGTGAATTTTTTGTGTATATTATGTATATAAATAATGCTTATAATGTTCTGAAACATTAAAGTTTTAAAAAACTTATATTAAAATCTTACATCTCAATTGATCCACAAATATCCCATAATAAATGCCAGCATGTTACTTGACTCATTGTCCCCACTTATTCACTGCACAGTGCATTTTGCAGCGAGCATCTTTGCATGCCTCCCATAAGCAATCAAGCGTTCATGACTTCTCTTTTGTCGCACTTGCTTTTGTCCAGAATGATTGACGTCATGTCCCTTTGTGCATGCCCCTCATCCACTTCCTATTGATGCGCTGCATGATGCGCTGCATGTCAAGGTTTAAGCATGATAAATGGTCGTACCTTCAGAAGCGTTTAACGCTTTCTGAACTAAACGTGAATGTGAAACTTTATGACCGTTTTGTAACGATAATTTGAAAGCTTCATCTCGAGGTTGAATTTGCATTGTCATTTTGTCCGAGTTGTTTCATTTGCTAGCTTTTTTTGTAAATTATTACGATCTCTATGTCTTTCATAACTGTACCAAAAGCGTTTATTTCCTTTATACAGGGCGAGCACAAACAAAACGAAACCCAAATAGCAGGACCAATTTTTGAATGAAATTTTGCCTGTAGCAAAATCTCGGATATGAAGCCCAATCAATGAGATTTCTTTTAGTACAGGAATCATTCAAATCAGTCATGTACTTTTCAAGTTATATACGGAATTTGAACACAAACACCATTTCAATTAACTTCTGTCCACGTATCACAAAAAAGGTAAGAGTTCTTTCAGCAAAACGATAACAATTCACATGCATCCGCATGATCAAAAACCCAATCTATGGAAATCCCGACAACTTGTTATAATTTTTACAGGATTTATGGTGGAAGGGGCAACACAATTAACAGAACTTCCTCTGTAAGCCAAGAAATACAGGCAGCCCCCCCCATAAAAAAATTCAACCCTAAAACATTTGTCTTAAAGGGAATATACATCATTTGCTTTTGCTGTAATTTTCAGAAATGGATGGAATTGGGGGGTTGGAAATATATAGCAAATGTAGTTACACTGACTTTTTTGAGGTTTTGGGTTCGAAAATGCTATAAAAAACAAGAAAAACAATCATTTTCCTGTAGTCTGGTTCCCTGACTCCATTTAAGAAGAAACAGAGCAGTTTACATATATTGGGGAATTGAAAGGTCAGGGAACCAGTCTAGCTGGCTTGTACCCGTTCATAGGTGTGTAATCGATTACAAACAAGTGCGATGGTCAACTGGGGCCAGTATTTGAAAAACAAGCCAGTTTTTTCCAACGCTGATCGGCCGATCAGCGTTGGAAATTGATACAAAAATACCACTTTTCTTGAAAATGACAGTATACCAGGTGCCATGATGTTACAGGATGCTTTACACTGTCATTCACTAACAGTCCAGCAAGGTATTTCAAAATGATTTGGTAGTTTTATTTTATGATGTTTGCAAATGTTGTATTTTCCCTTTAAAAAAGGGATTTGTTGATTTTTATGTTTTGGGTATTGGATGAAAGCTGGGAGCTTTTTCTTTCAAATACTAAAAAAATATCATGAAAATGGCACTTCTGGTTGCTGAGAAAATGCCAATGATGTAAAAGTCGTCATTTTTCATCCTGTTCATTAGTACTTCAAACTTTGAAACATTTTACTGTAAGCCTACTGTGCAATTATATTTTATTTTGTGCAATTTGTTTTTAGTACTTTGACATATTTATGATGCTGCAAGGGTTTAAAATAGGACTAAAAAGGATGAGATACCTGTTCAGGTGGAAAATAAAAGGTATTTCCATCAAATTCATTTGTACTCTTGTCATATTATGTGCCGTGTTGTTTGTAAGGATAAGGACATGCACAAATATGTACATGTAGAGTGAAAATCCCTCACTTCATGGTAATGTTTTGTGTACAAGATAAATGAGTACTTTTACATAATTGGCATTTTCTCAGCAACCAAAAGTGATTTTTACTTTTTTCAGTATTTGAAAGAAAAAAGCTCTCAGCTTTAATCTGATGTATCAAAAACATACAAATCCACCAATCCCTTTTTGTTTTGTTTTAGGGTTGTATTTTTTTTGGGGGGGGGGGGGGGTCACACTGTATTTTTCCCAGTGATCCTACAAGAAAATTGTAAGATGTGCATAACGACGCTGATGCAGCAATGAACATTGCATTTATCAGTTGCATTTTAATTTGGTCTTTCTCTCTAAACACAGCCTGCTCTCATTGTTAACGTAGCCAGTGAATGTGGTTACACCAAGAGCCACTATGAGGATTTGGTCTGGCTCAGCCAACAGCCAGAGATAGACGAGAAACTGCACATCTTGGCTTTTCCATGCAACCAGTTTGGCCAGCAGGAGCCGGGTAGCGACCGGGAGATCCTGGCTCATGTCCAGGAGACGTACGGGGTGGCCTTCCCGGTCTTCGGCAAAATTGACGTCCTCGGGAAATATGCCCACCCAGCTTACACATATCTGATCAGTAAGGAAGTTTTATTGCACGCTCTTCACCAAGGGAAATTATTTTACAGATTATATTAAAACCCCATCTTTAATGCAGTCCCCAATATAGCCACAGTCATTCTTGAGGTTGTAGGGTTAAGGGAGACACAATCGAAGAGTTGTTCATATCATATCATTCGCTTTCGACCATATATTTTGTTTCGTGATTTTTTTTTTTTGGGGGGGGGGATTTACCTTATTATCTTGGCATAATGTGCATATTCTTGTTGAATTTGGAAACTATTAGCCCTGACCGCCCGTATTTATTTATTATATTTTCAATGTTATTTACGTCATCTTTAATGAGGGTAAACTCCGATCAGTGCAGGCATGGTGCAGGACACTGCTTTTCATGGAGGCCCTCAATATGAGAAATATGAGACTCATTATGTCGCACCTTTTGTCAGGTGTATTACGTTACCAACATAGGAAAATGTATTTGGAAATATCTAGAGGGGGATAAAATATTCAGAGGATCAACGCCTTTTTTAGGTTGACTTTGTAATGCAAGAAAAACAGTGGGGGTTTAACTCATTTATGAGGAAGCCATTTCCGATCGTAGACCCTGAATCGATGTTATAAATTGTAAACAGTTGAATGCGATGGTGCCAGACTATTTTATGATTGGAGTGCGTGTCAAGCCTCACTTTCAATTAAGATTTTTTTTTTATGTGGCTTAAAACATAATAGGTTATGTTTAATCGCAGATTTTAAATTATTTATTATACCAGACTCGACTGGTATTAATTTGTTATTAACTTTAATTTCGTTGCTTTCATTTGTATCCGCAAATTCCAAAATGAAGACTTAACCTCGCTTTCAATTTGATATGGCCGACTTGCGAAGAGTAAATAGGCCTAAACCCATCCGCCGAGCTCATGAATAAAAGTTATACATGTACCCTCAAAATATTCTACTAAAAGATAGTTCTGAAAGCCATACAACTTGGGAAATTGAAGAGATATGGCAATGAACCTTAGGCTCGGATCATGCTCGGAGATTCCAGTTCTGAGCGTTTTGGATGCAATCGGGCTCGAAACCCTGGCGTTATTTTGCCATTTTGCTATTTTGTGGAGGGATCGTTTTTCAAGATGGCTTCCTTTCCGCTTTGGGAAAAATAGGGGTCGTCTTCTTTGGGTGACAGTTTCTCAAAAAGTCAAACGTCAACCCACCAAAAAATTGAAAAGAAAATGAAACATGACTTCGTTTTTCTGTGCAGCTTAAATACCTGCGAATGATCCGAGTATTTATAAATAATTTTTAATACATGTGTATGGGCATTTAGCACTGGTGTCTATAGGAATTTTAGTACATGTGTACAGGGGTGCATCCATATACATTGTCTTGCATGTACCATGTACCACCAGTTTCTGTAACACACTGCAGTTGTGCACCTAATGGACCCAGTAAGCTATGAGCCGGCAATTTATAGCTCTTGTTGGGCTTGGATCTTTTGTGCCATTGTGATCAATGTGTTTGTGTTTGTCATCTCTTACGTAACAATGCGAGGTTCTAATTCCCTAACTATACATGAAAAGCAATACATGCGCATGCGTGGCTTATTATAGTCTGCCGAGTATAAAGCTAAAATGCGTTTAACATAATAACAAGTCATTTAACATTACTGCACATCTGGACTCTGTTTGCAAAACTTTCATAAACAACTTTACGAATCAAAATAGAAAAATTGCGTGTAGAACGTCTAGTTCTACACTCAACCAACCGGTTTTTTTTTCACATGGCGTTACCCGCCATTTTTCTATTTAAGAAAACCTTCAAGGCATTTAACTACATTCAACCAACTCCGGTTCTTTTCAGAACCACACTTCTTCTTAGAAGAGATTTCTTTCCACATAGTGTTACCCGCCAATTTTCTTTTTTAGAAAACCTTCAAGTCAATTATAGCTTTACGAATAGTCAAACAATTTTTAAGAGTGTATTTTCTGACGACTGCATAGCATGCATTTGGTCAATTATTTTTGGTCAATTTTCGGGGACCGACCGACCATGAAATTATATGTAGAATCTTAAAAGTCGTCACGTTTGTAGGGCCTATGCCAATGTGAAGAATTTTATTTCATATTGTCCTAATAGGAACTGTGTTCTAATACAAATTAAAATCTTGATGACACGTGGTTATATTGTACTTGACAAATTATTAAGATTCCGCCAATTTTCCGTCCAGATGCTTCGGGAAAACAGCCCAACTGGAACTTCTGGAAGTACCTAGTGGACCGGCAGGGGCGAGTCATCGATGCCTGGGGGCCCTCGACCAGCGTGCGGGAAATATACGGCTTTCTGGTGGCAGCGACGAAGACCGGGTCTGGACGACGGGACGAGTTCTAGCTAACTGCTAGAATCGGTATTAACCCAACTCCTTCGGCATTTTTGCAAGGATGCAACTTCAATCATGCAATATCTTCCAACTGACTCCATGAAAAAAACAGGTGTATAGCCTAAGGTGTATAAACACACAAGGTCCGGCTCAAGACATTGACACAGTGCATCCTCTAAAATCAGTCAGCCACGCATTTGTGCCATAGAGCCTCAATCCTGCAAAAGCATCCATTTTGCAAAGAGGATTTTGAAGGATTTGGGAAGGCGAGGGTTAATACACATCATGAACACATGAGTGTGAAACCTCTTTTTGTTCTTTTGTTAAAGGTTAAGAGTCTTCCAATGCATATTGTAACCAACCAACAAAAAAATAACCATTTCGAGTGTGGATGTCGTTTTTCCAATACAATCAAAGGGAGTCTTTTTTTTTTGGAAATTAATTTGCAACTTGCATGGACCACTGCAGTTGGGTTTGGCCCTTGTTGATTTTTTTTCAGTTCTAATAATTTCGCCACGATTCTTGCCAAGAAATCAGCAACGACATGTTATAGACGAACATATATATGTTATGGTAACATTATATGAAGTGGCTTAATATATTTATTGAGCGTAGAAACTCGTATTGTAGTTTTTACATTCACTATAACAAAATAGTTTCCGTAATCCGTATGCAATTAAAAAACAAACCTCAAGACACTTGTGTGCATTGACAAGTTAAAGATCATTTCAGATTTCATATAGTTACCATTTAATTAACATCTAGCTTAAGCTCGTGGCCTTTAATTATTGAGGCAAATGAAAAATGAACCTTGATCCAAGCATTTTGAAAGCACCAGTATAAAACATGAATGCGATTTATAACAATGTTGTGTACGGTCCGTATTCAGTCATGGGTGCAGTAAATTATCTTTAAGCGGAATAAAATAATTGCTCTTCTTAAATGAATGTGCTCCTATAACTATGTTACATAGCCGATCTACATTCAGTTGCTTTACGTATCATGTACATGTACATGCACAAGTACACTGCACATAAATGATTGCCACGTGCTATCAGAAATTATTAGCATATATTATGAAACAATTCATTTTTGTAAAAAATACCGTTTTCACCGAAAACGTAAACCCATTACAGACCCGTATACACAAGGAAGAGGTAATGACATGAGCAAAAGTGAATAAGTGGAAACACAATTTTTAGTGGTGTGCATGAACGGGTCTTGCGGGAACAGCAGGTAACCTATTTATTTGTACAACACAGGGTTCAAGGTACCCGTAAACGAACCCAACCCTAAAATTCAAAAACCCAGGAAGATGTCTGAAGGCTTTCGTACAATGTAGCTTTACGGTGTGAGCTGCACGTTCAACTTTTGTGGGGTCATCTTTCGCGCGTTTAAATGCACACAAAACGCGAAATCTGTTCAGTATAGAAGTTTTTAAAAACTCTCCATCAGAAGCATTCCACACTATTTTTGTCCAAGAATTGTAAATACGGTCGAACCCTCATAAGAAGAGCACCGTTAATACAACATCCTGCTTAAAACAAGGAAACTGTTAGGCCCCAAGTCTTTTTCTTTGTTTTCCATTACTGATCATACAAGGTACCTGTTATAAACAGGTAATTTGTAAAGACCCAAGGACCTTGCTATAAAGGTGTTCGACTGTATTATATTGAAGCAACTTGTAAGTTGGTTACGGCTACCCGATCTCATAATCTGGTATAGCCTATAGGCCTACTCGGGTACCCGGCTCCGATCAGGCACACCGACACGACACGAATGGTGTTCATTTAGTGTCGAGTCGCTGCAGTGGATGATTCTTACAAGTGCATAAATGGCAATATGTGAGCACAGCTGAGAATTTGAATCAAACAGCTATGCCAACATCTTGCCTTCTCCACACCCGATCTGTGATCCAAAGCGTAGTTACTCAAGCATCACTGCCTCTGCATATCTGTGGAGACAAAAAATATCAAGTACCTTGAGAGTATAAACGTACAGTCTCACTGATGGTTGGATTCGTTCACTGTGCTGTCGACAACTGCGAAGATTGGGCAAGTGGAAAAATGGCAATATGTAGGTACAGCTGGTTTTTTGGCAACAACAGCTATGCCAACATCTTGCCTTTTCTACACTCGCTAATTTGAACATGTTCTTTAGCAGCTTCAGTGGGCTCCACAACAACCAGCGATGACCACTCAAAAGTTACGTAAGATTGTGTGCACGTCACATGGGCACGCCTGGCGAAGATCAAACATTGCATGAATAGACCAAATGAACACAAGAGAGAAAATGGCGGGCTTGCAGTTTTTACAAGAACAATACATGTTTAAAGTGATGGTAAGAACATGGTCGTACAGAAAATCAATGTTACGGTGTATAGGAATTGTACTCGGAATTCGGTGCACATCCTGGAAGGTTACTGTTCCTCCTGAAGGCATTTACAAGTGACAAAATGGCAGTATGTAGGCACAGCTGAAAATATGTCGTTGGACACAGCTATGCCAACATCTTGCCTCTTCGGCACTCAAAAGTATCAATGGAGAAAACCTGGCAATGGCAGAAACAGCAAATTTTTTAAATTTTTCGAAGGTGTATGCTGGTATGTTTCCCCAGGCCCCATGGTGCTATTCAAAAGGAATTGCTCCACGGTTGTCAGGCGAGATCTTCAAGCAACAGGTCGTTGGCAACTGCACCCATGATAAGAGTTCTGAGAGCATAGCATCGATATGCGCATAACAGAGAATTAACAGAATTTCATTAATTAAACGACATGTGCGCTACATCAATTATCAGTACACACGTACAAATGTACAGTGGGTTTAATATAATCAACAATACCCTGACCTTCCATGTCAAAACGACAACATGACATACCAAAATCGTGTGAGAATTTAACCTCGGCACAGCAACATACCAACATGCAGACACGCTGTTAAACAAGTGGGCTAATGTACATCCAAAATAAGACACCACCGATATAATTAAGGCACCATTAATTATACCAACCATTAGCCGCATCAAGCCTAACCAACAACGGAGATGCAGGCCTACACTATAAATAAATGCAGGAAAAAAAACAGGCAGTGTTACGGATAACTAGCGTGCGAACTGACCTTGAGTGCGATACCAGTGTTTAATTACGGCCCAGCGCTAAACGCTCATACACACTACGCAGCGCAAAATGGACCACAATTCCACAGCATATTAGCAACGGGCCAAAGGTCCTTTTTCTTTGCATTGTGATAAAGATAAGCCGGGGTGTGTTCTATGTATACAGGTTGATTTTAAACCGTAGCGTGGCATATTTACCTTATTGATTGAGCCGTACCACGTTCCGTTCAAATACTGAAATCGCATGCGCGTAGGAATTGATAAAAAAAAAAGAACGCATCAAACCCGAAACCTGCCTGAAATTTAAAGTGAATCCTGAATTTGTGCATACCTTCTAAAACCACATCTTGCTTAAATCAAAAATGATGTGTGGATGTTTTGCGATTAAAGACAGTAAATTGTTAAGAGTCCAAGATGGTACAGAAAAGTAATTTGATTTTGTAAGCCAAACAATAAATGGTTAACTTTTTTTCCGTAGGGAGTAAAGCTACAAAAAGGAAGCCAGATCGTTAAAAATGCAGCGTTTTGTTTCCATGACATGAAAAGCTTACATGCATGGATACATGTACAGTATATCATGGTATGGATTTTTTTCATCGGCAAATACCACGATAAGACCATTACGTAACAACCAATTGGCCAACCCGCACGTTGAATAGACAGTATTGACTGAAAGCATTTGCGGTACAATCACTACCCGCGTGACGAAATCTTCCCCATAGTGCTAGACTTAGAGTGCAGAGGATGATAATGTGGGATTTCTTAGAAACACAAATTGGCGGGAAACTGTTGACCGCAGAGCCAAACTTCGCATTCAGCAAATGGTTAAAATTTGTTACCAAAATACTCAAATTTATTTCAGAAATCCCCCGAGTGACAATTGGCTTGTCAAAAAGCACACGTTCGCCAAGAAATTGTCAAAAAATAAAGGTTTTTTCACAAAAGATTTCGTAATGGTTCCATTGGTAGGTCAAGGTTCACGGGTTGAAGCGCAACTCGTGGAACTTTAAAAGATCTCGATCAAAAGGACAGTTCTACAACTTTGAGAACTTCAATGAGAATTTTGTTTTGGAACTTTAAAAGATCTTGATCAAAACATGGAGGAAGGAACATAAACATGATCAAAAGGACAATCTACAGTACAACTTTTGAGAATTTCAATAAGAATTTTGTTTTTGTTTTATGTTTGTAGACCAACTACAGTATGGTTGACCTCTGTATCGTACGCGTAAAGAAACGTTGGTAACATTTGAGCACCAGTCGTCGACACTAGTACAAGTACTCGCGGGAAAATGACGATGCACTATTCACGAACTCCCAATGCAGTATTAACACGATCAGATGAATGGTTCAACAATGGGGCTATCGGGTCACTGAGCAATCGATATAGCGTTAGTGGTGGTTGGTGGCATGGTACAAACTCGCATGATATTGGATTGGGAAGATGGCCTCTAAATTTCACGGACTACTAATGTAAAATTTGTGCATGACAGATTAAGTTAAGGCAAACTTGGGCGGCGAGGCGCAGGCCCCTATACGCATAAAGGGCTTACCCATAAAGGTAGCGCAGAGATGCAACACGTGTAGATTAAAAAACGTGATAAAACTTCACATTATTTTATACTGCTAGTTTTAATGATAAACGAAAACTGTTAAGTAAACCAAGCAGAGGGATATGGGGGATACCATAAGTTTAATTATCTTTTGCAGATTTACATGGACACTGTATATGCAGGATGTTAATCACAACTTACCAGCACGTCGCGGTTGGTTCAGTGGGGATGACACCGTTGGATTGCCGGTCGATTTTCCTCTCGGTATGAGGTAACGTAGGACGTGACGCGGTGAATGGCGGTTGTGGGTAAAGTACGACTACGAGATGATCGTCATCGCTTCCATGTCACGAATGCCACCAC